TTCTTTGTGTTAGATAACAAAAAGAAATTTGCTGTTGCAGAATCCACAAAAATAAACAATCGATACTTTTTGACAGTTGTCTTCTTTGTCGTATTCATGCTGATAAATCTATATTATTATTATAGGGCTAGTTAACGACACATAACACACTATACATACAGACAGATAGATAAAATTAACGGTTACCCGTTAATTAAAAAATATTGCTACACCATAGAAATTACCTTCTTTATATTATATTATTCGTATATTTGCAGTGGGTTACAGAACAATTTTTGTAATGATATTGTTATAAATGAGAAACAGGAAAAAAACTTTTGCACACCATTATAGAATCTTCTATATGTGTGTTTTCGAATGATATGTGAAAGAAAACCTAATATGTGCATAATTATAAAATCAGATATCGTTTCGTTCCGTTTGTCTGTACGACATTAAATATTGTATTTGATAATAATATCGGGATTAGGTTTAAGGTTGTATCCGGAAATTTATACCTATATAGGTTAATAGATTAAAATAATGAGTAATAAATGATTTAATTTAATGGCATATATCATATGTAAAAGGTTGATCTCAATTTTACAGATTTAATAAAATGTAAATTAATAAGTTAAGTTTGTGAAAGTATATTTTATTTATCTTATACGACATGACCATTTTATTGTAACGTATAAACACACATTCTTTTGAAACAATAGTGTATATGTGTATATACATATATATATTAAAAGATATGCATACGATACAGTATATATATATATATATATATATATATATATATAATATATTATGATAGGAATATCCTTTTTTCTTCAACAATGGCAGAAATATTTATAATACGAATAGACATTGAAAATATGTAACCTCTAATATTACATTTTTCCCTTTTAATTACTATTGTTTCAATGTATGTTATACCACTAATCTGATAAATAAAGATATCCATATAAAAAAATATTTAAAATCACATATATATAAAATTAAGGTATAGAAGCAAGGAAACCAGGACACCATCTCGTTGTTTACATAATCCATATAGTATGATAGCATGTTATATACTGTACATGAAGGATGAAAGCGAATCGAATCGAGATTAAGATTAATCACAATGCAATATTATTTATTAGACTCATACATGTATCTATGATATCAATCATTTATATATTTATTGCACATGTACTTTACTGTATAACGAGGCATATGAGAAAATCAAACGATTTACTTTGCATCTTCATTTTAATTTTCATCAAGTTATTATTATTAGTGTCATCAAATATGTGTGTGTATAAAGCAAGCAAAAAATCAATCATCCTTAATACAGGCATAATCATAAACACGAAATATTGTAAGATAATCATCCAAGTCATTTATAGATAATAATAATGTTCATAATAGATGATCGAGAAAACTTTACAATGAAAGAAATTCGACAATAAAGCAATAATTTCAAAATTAATTCCATGAAATTTCACATGCAAATAAATAAACAGAGAGAGAATTTATGGGGTTTTATGTAAAGCTATCAAAAGAGAGCTTACCGAATATATTCCGCGAATAGAAAGTTCGTACATACCATCATCACGATAATAAATACTAATGGAAAAAGAAAACGCAAAAAGAAACAAACGCCCACATCTAAAGAAAAAAGTCTTGTTTAATACTTTTTTTCTTTTGTCTTTTTCTAATATGTGATATTGTTCATTGGAACTATATTATTAATCATTATGCGACTCAATGGGAATGTCTTGTATAGGAATTGTATACGATCAATTCGACAATTCACATCAATATCAGCAAAGCATTCTCAGGTAATGATAAACATGTCAATGCGACCACGGACTTTTTCGAAGCATATGAAATAAATGTATTTTTTGTCCGTGGAAATTCTCATTTTGAGAAAGAATGAGGAAAATCCTTCTTACTTATCATTTAAAGAGTGTGTCATTTATCGTCAAGATAAAAAGAGGGTGTCATTTATTGTTAAGATAAAGAGAATGTGGGTATCTGTATTTGTAAAATTACCCTCGAAACATTTTTTCTTTTTTGCAAGTCGTTTCTTTCTTTGGGTGGTTTATGATGCATTGAACATGATTATGATGAAAATACGCGTCTATTTGGTTGTTTTTTTTTTAGTTTCATTTCATTATTCATTTTTTTGAACTTATAATCGAATAAAATTGCATAGCATGATATCATACGTGTTTCAAAAGATTTTTCTTTCGAATTGTTATCTAAAAAAAATTTAAAACTTCATTACATACAAATTATTGACCAGCACATTTTAGCTGCATTTAGAGAATCAGAATTCCCAATGGTCAGCGATCAAAAAAAAATTACGTGCCTTTAGAGGGAACGATATAATATTTTAAGTTATGTGCGTTTGCGTCATGTATATGTTTTCTTTTTAATACCTTAATTTGGGTTAAACTGATGTTTGAGCCCCGTGAATTTTTTTTACGATGCAAGTTGTGGTGTGTTTTCTCCTTAACATGATGAATCGAGTTGATTTTTCTGTGATTGTTCTTCTTATTGTTCCTTTTGTATTTTGCTCCCTATCAAGCAGATTATGTCATAAACAACTATGTTTGGATATTATATTTATTATTTACTATCGTAATATTAATTATACCCCGCAAAAAAAACACGTCGTGCATCGTCATATAAAAAAAACCGAACGGGAACATAATATCATATGCATACACGTTGGTATTTGCATTGTAAACATATTGTCAGTCAAATCAATAAATTAAGGACTCCAAATCGGCAATTAATTAATATCGTAATTATTGACTATTATTATAAGAAACCGAATGATGTAAGTGATTGTGGCATGATTTGTGTTGTCTTGTGGCTCGAGAAAAAGAAACAATCAAAGTAAATATAAATGCAATTATAAAATGTGTGTGAAAAATAAAGATTTACGCTCTTATTTGCCCATTTACTAAATTTGCAAACAAACCTTATATTCTTAAAGGAAAGTGAGAATGATAGAGTCACAATAAAAGAAACTAAACAGGTTTAAAATATCGCTGTTCACCAAATCGCGTAACTATACACATACATACTATGATGAAGCGGCAATTTGACACAAATAAAGAAAATAGTAGATGTTAAAAATAATCATTATTATTATTTTATTGATTGATAGAAAAGTCTTGTGCCGATTCATTTGCATAATCTCATTTAAATTCATCCCAGCCTGCAGGACCTTTTTTTCAAAATCATCTGACTTGGCCATTGAAGCATTTACGTCACATAAAAATGGTGGATAAACAATAACGCTGTATTTTTATATTTCCCATAGAAAAGAACCTTCGCACTTTTGAATATTATTAATTGATGTGAATATTAAAGTTTAACGACGGAGCCTCTTAGTTAATCCCATATATGCATCAATAAACAAAGCAATAACAAAAGGTGAATTTGTGGTTTTGCTGATTTAATAAATCTTTTCCTTTTCAATTCTTGAATCATCCAGCCATCTTTCTTATAACATGCGCTTACATTAGTAAAAAAAAAAATAAATAACACATGTAATATAAAGCGCTTATTAATTTATTTACTATGAAAGGTTGGTATATGGTTTCAACTTGCAATTAAAAATGGTAATTTTTGATGATATTTGAAACCATACATTTTATTATACTTTGGTAAAAATTCCACAGTTTTTGTTTCACTAATAATAAATAAGCCATGACTTTGTATTCGCGCGAAATTCGCCATTTTGACATAATATTGATAATAAACAACATTGTTTCTTTCTGAGGTTCAATCCGTATTTTTTGATTTGTATGGATAATGCAGACCGATTGCTGCGCCTTTACTTAAGCGTCCGTATACAAATGTAATGTAACGTTTCTTGGCCGAATACTGGCGAAATTGCAGCGGCATGAATACATTGCAACGTTAATGGACTAATACAAAACAAATATCAATTTCACAGAACATTATTTTTTTACGCGTATCTATATTCACATCATACAAAGTTTCGCACTTGCATGAAAGCTTCTATTAAGAAAAAATACATCAAGAAACACTTTAGCGCAGCCATGCATATTTTATATGCAAAAAGGATGATAATAATGATAAGAAAAGCAATAGTGGTGAGATTAGAAGTTGTAATAGTACGTGTAGGGTAGCTGTACGTATAATAAGACTACACTATGGCATACATAGGGTAGCATTTGAAAATGATAATAATCATGATAATACTACAAGCAAATTTTTAATGGCATTTTCATGCAGAGTTTCACAACTACATGTAAACTTTATCGTTACAACTTCGAATAAACTCCGTTTATTCCTCTCCAAAAAGGATAAACACCTGTTTACATAAAAGCCCATTTCTGTCATCGATTTAATCCATCCGGTTATTCATTGAGGAACTCCCTCTGATACGTTTTTGTACATATTCGTTCCTCCGAAAATAAAATTCTTTTCAAGAAGCCCAATAATGCATAATGTAAGAATGGCATAACAAGATATGTGTGCATGCAGCGTCACAATAAAATAAAGGATTAAGAAATTTAATGTAATTTTTCTATTCCTTCAGTTTACCACAACTAATATAAACTGTATGTATGTATGCCTAGTTTTAAGGAAAGTTACTCATCCAGTTGCTTACATTTAGTTCATTCATTCAATTGTTGAATCAATTCAAGCAAACAACCGAGCATTGCTCATTTTCTAAAAAGAACCTCGTTAAACTGTAAGTAACACTTCGATTTCTATTATTGCTATTCTGTCCAATTCACTACTATGTTGGACAATAAATCCTCCTTGATAACAGAATTTACTGTATTGAGTTATTTCGTAGAATAAACAAATGGCCGAGGTTTCGACACATTAAGTGTGTAAAACATTATTTTATTATCGTGATCTAAGAATCGAATGAAAATAAATTCGGCAGTCAACCAATCAAATCTCTATTTGTGGTAACACATGTTCCTGATATTTTTGACACAAATTAAAGAATTAAAAATTTTAGATTCGATAAAATGCCGAACGAAAAAAGCTCAAAGAAACGTAGGCATGCATCTTTAAATGACGCGTCTAACTCAAGTAAAAAAGAGCAAATTTCCAACTCGAAAAATCGAATATTATCTAAAAAAAACAAGGTCGCGATAGGAGGAGAACCTGAGAAAAATGAATCTAAACAACTTAATGATAGCACATCAATATCAAAAGTCACAAATAGCGATAATTCTCCGTTAAAAACAAAAAATTTCCGTATGATTGCTGGTAGTTACGAACGAATTCTTTATGGAATTGATGCGAAGTGGATAAAATCTAATGTAGGAATCTTTGGGAAAGTCGATTTTCTGATCAAAAAAGATAAAATTTTCTAAACAAAAGATCAAATTCGAATAGGAAGAAACCAAATTGCATTTGAAGCCAATATTTATTTTCCCCGCGCATATCGGGTGTATCAAGACAGTAGCAGTTGGTGGTCGATATTTGGCATCGGGTAGTACGGATGAAATAATAAAGTAAGCTTCAGGAAAAAATCGAACCTCAGGATCTTGTTATTCTATCTAAAGGAAAAATTTATACAATAAATCAATTAAAATATTGATAGATTATATGATCTAAAAAAAACAAAAGAGCTTGGATCTCTGATACAACATCAAGGATCAATTACAACTCTTCAATTCTATAATAAGAGTCACATGCTAAGTGGTAGTGACGATGGTAATATCTGTATTTGGCGAACGAAGGACTGGGAATGTCTGAAAACAATGAAAGGGCATAAAGGACGAGTCAATTCCTTGGCAATACACCCGTCTGGTAAAATTGCTTTGTCGGTTTCAAATGATAAAACTGTGCGTTTATGGAACTTAATGACCGGAAGGAAAGCAAATTCAAATAAAATTGGAAAAGGTAAGTAGATATTGATACAACATGCGTGAAGTATTTTCGTCACCTCGATTAGTGTTAAGTGACTTTGCTGTATCTTCAGAAGGTGAAATAGTGATTTGGAATACGACCGGTGAACAATATGCGATTTTAATGAATAATGAAATTGACATCTACAGTATTAAAGTGAGTCAAGATTTGTGATACGTGTTTTTTTCTCCATAATTTTAATATCAATAATTTATTCTCACAACAACTAGAATGCTCAAGTCGTCCATAAATTCCAACAGCGATCTCGATATGTTTGCATGAAGTTTTACGAACATCCAGAATTAGGCGAATTATTGGTGACTGGTAGTGAAGATAAGACGATAAATGTTTATGACGTTAATGATAGTAAATGTTTGGTAACTTTGATCGGTCATAAAAATAGGTAAAACGCAAAATTTGACATTTTAATCGACTCAATATTATCAAACAATTGATTCTGACTTTATCCTATAGAGTCAAAGCTATCGATATCATTCATTCTGCACCAGACGAAAAATCTATATCACCGTTAACTATCTTGGTGTCCGTTTCATCGGATGGTGAAATCAATGTGTGGAATTTAAGTGAAGCGTTAGAATTTTCCAAAAATGATAACAATAAAAATCAAAAAATTCAAGAAAATCCATCCAATAATAACACAATAGCGTTCACAAAAATATTAGCCTCGTATGACACTAAAAGTCGCTTAACGTGTCTTGTACTTTCAGGAGGATTTGGTGATGTTGGAGATGATGATATTGGCGAAGACGACAACGATGATATTGTCATGGGTGATGAAGATAACGAATAAGAGGAAAATGCGACCCAAGGAAAGAATATTAAACATGAAACAATTTCTTAAACTTTGAAAACGTAAATTTATTGTCAACCAAAAAACTGAATAATAAATAATTAAAGTCTCATATAATTTTTTTGATTAAATGACAATTCTGACTAAAAATGCTAAATACTTGGTCTTTCAGTCACAAAGAACTCTTGTTTAAATTCTCCGTGTACTGTCCAATCGTCATTCGAACTATTGATGAACAAAATGAATTATTAGCGTTTTAATAATTTCAAAACGAAATCTATAAGACGATAAATTCGAGCAGATTTCTGAATAAACAGACATTAGGAATATCACTGAACGTTACATAAAATTAATAACGTAAGTTATTATTATATTTCAAAATTAACAAAATTGACAAAATTGAGTTAAGATAAAAATAAAAATATACACATTTTCAAAAAAAAATAAATACATGATTTTTTTTAAACTTTTGTAAATAGTAAATTATTACATCCATTAAATATACTAAATGTTGTATACGCAAACGCAGTACTAGAAAGAGATGAGATAAGGGATGAAAGGATGACAGAATAGTAATTATAATAATAGTCATAAGCGCAAAAAAATAATAGTACGTAAAATAATAAGCCAAAAAAAAATTCCCCCAAAAAAGAAAAAATAAATAAATGCGAGTTCAATTCATGAATTATTTATAGAGGTGAATGACGTCGTTATCTTCATGATTGTATTGATGATCATGATGTCGTTAAAGGGTGGATGGATGGAATAAACGTCCGTGATAGTGAGGATAATGTGATTGATAATTGTGATGATGGACAATGGAAACCTCATGATGCGCAAGTAGTCTCCTCTTCTTCAATAATAATTATAGACTATCATCTTTCGTGACCGCGTGGATGCGAAGACAACAAGTAGTAGTAGCGGTGCTTGTCCTATTCCTCTTCACTATTCTGTTTAGCTGTAATTTGGAAAGGTGGTGGTAGAATAGTTTGGAGATAAGGAGGGAAGGGCAAAGAAAGAGAGTAGAAGGAAGGTGGAAGAGCTAATTTCACAACAACATCTTCGCCTTGTAACGACATTTCAAAAATACGGCTAGATGTATATTTTGAAAGTATGTGAATATTAGAAGTGTGTTAAATTTTTTAGATAAATATAAAATACAAAAATAGCAATAATGATGATGTTAAATGTTGTTATGTGATGAAGTTGTAGTGATGTTGATGGTCGTCGATTGTCGGTACGGAGAACGACAGGATGATGCACACAGACAGAGATAGAGAGAACGAGTAGAGTAGCAGTAGAGAAAAGGATAGAAAAAAAGAGAAATAGGGACTTTAGAAACCGACTTTACTAATTTCCCCCCAAATTAGCATATTTCGGACACCCTCCAACATAAAAAGATTAGAGTAATTAAATTTGATTGTTATGTAACTCTGCCTGTAACTGACGAATCATCTCTAGCATTTGTTCATTTTCGGTCTTCAATCGTTCATTTTCGCTCTTCACTTCGCGTAATGTTTCGACCTCTTTGGTAAGCAGATCAATCTTGTTCTGGAAATAATAAGTGAACAAGATTAAACAAATTCTCGAATTATAAATACCAGCATTCACACCAAAAATGCATAGAATTAATGGGAAAAAATGACTTACGTCTTGTTGATCGTTTTCTTCTTCTAGCCATTTTAATTCCATCGTAGTGTTCTTTAACTTCGCTTCTCGTTCTTCAAGAGCAAGCTGATGCGCACTTTCTAATTCGGCAATTTTCGCACTGTGAGCTTGATGAAGAGCTTCAAGGTCTTTTGCAGATGGTCCCCCATTATTACTCATATTCTATTCAAACAAAGTAAGATAACTCATCAGTCATTAGTTCATAAAAGTTAGAATAAGTAGGCATTACCTTGACGCGTTTGTTTAGTTCCTCTAATTGCATTCCTTTAGCATCTGCTTCTTCCTGCAATTTCTGAACCTTCTCTGCGTGTTTTTGCTCAATAGTTTCAATTAATTTTGCGTGAGACTTTCTAAGAGTCTCTATCTCAGCTTCATGACGCTGTTTGAAATTATTCGAAGAATTTAGATTATTGGTTTTTTGTGTGATGTGATAATAATAAAATTTTATTCGAAATCATACTTCAATTAATTTTGAATCATTCTGGGTTGATTTGTTCTCTTCAATCTTCGCTTTCAACTTTTCGACTTCCTCGACGTGTTGCTTAGTAAGCGTATTAATATGCTCGGTAAATTCCTAATATATGTTTATTGATAAATAAACTCGAATAAAAAACACAATATTGCAAAACTGCAGTTAAACTTGCTTGAAGTTGTTCTTCGAAATTCTTGTTATCTTTCCTGGAAGCAGCAAGTTGACTACGTAATTTCTCTTGTTCTGTATTCTGAGAATCAATAGTGGCTTTCAAATTGGCGATTACTTTTTCTAATTCTTTCTGATGATCACTCTTAAGAGCAACTATATGAGCTGAATGTTCTTCTCGTAAATCCTAAAGGAATAATAAATAATATTAATCGAGAAACAAAAAAATATTTCTCATACATAAATCAATATATAAAAAATATCAACCTCGAGTGCCTTAGAAAGTATAGACTCATGCTGCGATTGTATTTCAACATATTTACTTTCATTAACTTCACGGGTTGAATTTAATTGACCGATTGCATTTTTGTGATCTGATCGAAGTTCATCGATTTCACTCTGAAGCTTTTCATTATTAGCTTCTAATTCTTTTAGTAAAGATTCATGTTGTGATTTCAGTTCTAATATTTGACGCTCGTATTTTTCTTCGAGAGCAGACAATTCCTTTTGATGTGACTCGTGTGTTTGCTTTAATTCTTCGAGTAAGGAATCGTGTTTTTGTTGAAGTTTACTGATTTCCCAATTATAATTTTCGTTAATCGATTCGAGTTCTGTTAGTTTAAATTCATGCTCAGATATCAAATTAGCAATTTCACTTTTGTGTCTTTCATTCAACGCATTCTCAGTTGTCTCTTTAAGCGATAATAAAGTAGCTTCGTGTTTAGCTGCTAAATCAGCAATTTCACTTTGTTTTTCGTTTAAGCTACTCTCGGTCGACTCTCTTATTTCTAACAATGCGGCTTCATGTTGTTTTTTAAGTTCACTAATTTGATTTTCATAGTTTTGTACGAGTTTTTCATCGAAAGATGATTTAAGCAATTCAGCTTGCTGAGTGTGATTATTTTGAAGTGCTTCGACTTCCTGGGAATGTTTAGCATTTAATTCTTGAATCATTTTATCATATTTAGACTCAAGGTTCGCTTGGATGTTATTAAGTTCTGCCGTATGCATTTTTTCAAGACCTTCCAATTCGAGATGATGTTGATTAATAAGAGAATCACGAATTTCTGCTTTTGCCTTTTCGATTAACTCTGCCTTTGAGCTTTCGGACAGATTTAGTTCGGAGGCGTGCTGTGATTTAAGTTCGGCTATTTGTTTTTCGTAATTTTGAACTATTTCTTCGTTGGAAGCTGATTTGAGAAGTTCGATTTGTTGAGAATGAGAATTTCGCAGAGCTTCCAATTCTTGCGCGTGTTTTTGAGAAATTTCTTCAATTAAACTATTATTTGAAGATTCCAATTTCTCTTTAATCGAGTCTAACTCTTCAGCATTTGCTTTCTCAAGGTTAGCCTTTTCAATATCGTATTTTTCATTCAAAGATTTCTCCAACTCTTGCTTCGATTTTTCAATCTGTTCCAAATCAGCTTCATGCTTGAGTTTGAGCTCGGAAATTTGTTTTTCATATTTTTGCAAAAGCTCCTCATTAGATGATGATTGCAGAAGCTCAAGTTGTTGGGCATGCGCATTTTTAATAACTTCCATGTCTTGGGAGTGTTTGGCGTTGAGCACAGCCATTTCTTGAATCACAGCATCATGTTTAGATTCCAAATTCGATTTTATCGATTTCAACTCATCGGAATGCGTTTTTTCAAGAGCTTCCATCTCACGATTGTGTTGATGATTCAAGGTCGAGTAAAGCTCATTCTTTGCTTTTTCGATCATTTCGTCACGTTCCTCTTGGAGTTTTTGTAATGCAGCTGCGTGGGCGGAGTGAAGTTCATTTAATTCGTCGGAATGTTTCACTATTAGAGCTTGCATGGCAATTTCAATTTCACCAACAGCTTCACGCTGTGTAGACTAGTGTAAGAAATTCATAAACAAAAGTTTAATTAATTCATGGAACTGAAATTGAGGAATAGTCATTTTTTAATTACCGTATATTCCTGTTTCGCTTGTTCCCGTTCTTGTTCGATTGCTTCTTCATGCATGGCATGCAACGATTCCAGTTCAGACGAATGCTTATTTTTAAGCGCCTCAAGTTGTTGCTCGTGATTTTTCTTTGCTGTTTCAAGTTCAGTTCGTAATTTTTCTAGTTCCTGAACAGCACCTTCAGTTCCTTGAACTTTTTGAGACAACTCAGTTATTTTAGTGATATGTGCAGTTTTAAGATCTTCAAGTTGTCGTTCGTGTTCAACCTTAAGTTGAGATACGAGTTCATCTTGGATCCGACCAAGTTTCTCTTCATAATCTTTCTTGATAGTCTTTTATTTATATAATGGTTATTATTATTATTACGGATATGACGATGTTATGATTATATGATTTTTGTGATGATGATAACGATTATTATAATATGAATTTCGTAATGGTTAAAAATCATTTATTAAATTTTTAAACTATATTTACCACTATATCGCCTTTTAATGAATACACTTCCTTTTTGAGCAAATCGATCTCAGCCTCTTTTGCAAGAACTGCTTCTTCCCGGTCAATTTGAAGTTTCAAATTTTCCTCTTCATGTGCTTTTTTCAATTCTTCTAATTGCTGAGAAAGCTTTTCCGATGCGACTGATGCATCATTATTATCTTTCTCTACTTTCTTTTTCAGTTCACTTAATTCTTCTTCAAGTTGTTTTAAGAGAGTTTCCTTTTCCTCGAGTAATCGCGTAAGTTCTTCGTTCTGAGTTGAATTTTTTTTTATTAGGTTAAATTTAAATTCTTACAATAAACTTTATTGTGAAAAACAAACCTTTTCTTTAAATTCATTAATCTCGGCCGCAGAGACGGCTTTCGAAGTGACACCATTTGCAGTAGCGGAAGCAGTAGCAGTTTTTGTTGCTGTTGATGATGCCGCAGCGATTTTAGTAGCTGTGGTAGTTGGAGCGACAGATGATTTTGTTTTTGCGGGAGAAACAGATGACGGTGTTTTCTTTGCAGCACTAGAAGCAGCGGTAGTAGTAGAACTCCTTTTAAGACCAGTCGCCCCTGTTTTTGAAGCTTGGCGTGTAGGAGAAGTAGATCTGGAAGCAGCAGGGGACACACCTCTAGAAGCAGCTGGAGTCCCCACTCTTGAAGCATTAGGTTTCGTGAGCGAAGATGTTGCGGTCTTTAAGGTTTTTGATGTTGCTGTAGTGTTGGATCGGCCTAAAGTTGCACCTGATTTAGCAGCAGTCGGGGACACTTTAGATGAAGCGGCAGCTTTTGCTGCAATTGCAGATTTGGTAGCGGAACTAACACTTGTAGCATTACTAGTTGTACGAGATTTAGGCAGAGTAGGCGATCGTGCAACTGATGATGAAACTGATGAAACGGAGGAATTGGACAATCGACGTGTACGTGCACCAGCATCAGTAGTGGTTTTGGCGGTAGCGCTTGTAGTTGTAGTAGTGGTGGTGCTGCTTTTTTTAGTTAATCCTGTCTTAATGGAAGATGGTGTAGTCTTTGTTGGAGTTTTGACACCTTTAGCAGTGATTTTCCCATTGGGCGTCGCTATCGCAGATTTTTTCTCTGGTTTCACCGTTGGGCTTTTCGGCGGAGTCAAAGGATCACTATGTTTGTCATCATCCTCGTTTTGTTCATCATCTGGATTTTTTTCGGTACTCCCTACATGATCAGTTTCTTTTTCGACAACCTCAACAAATTCAGTCACTGTCTCAGTGGTAACAGACTCCTCGTGAACTGAGGTGTCAATGTAGTTTTCCACGGCAGCGGCCATGATTTATTTTATATCAGCCGATTTGTTTTTGTTCTGTGTAGTTTTTTTTTTTGAAATAAAAAATGTTTATAGGATTAGATTAGAGTCGATCAAATGTGTTGGTTTCGATTTATTTTTAAGTATGAAAAAAGTGTGTTTTGCGAGAAAATTTGTAACAAACTAACGAGCAATGTTGAATAGTAAATATTAATAATGAAAAATAGTAACGATAATAATTTGCTTGCGTGATTGTTTATACGTGTATGTATGCGTCGTTTGACGCGATCTCAATAATAAGTACAGCTAATATTCATCAGGTAAAATACACATCGAACACAACATAGATGAGAGAACACACACAAAAATCACTTTTATGTTGCTAGCTTGCAAATTACTTTTATCTAATACATAAATATTATTAGATATTTATTTTCAGCACCACATATTTTAATAGAAAGTTTTAATCTTACCAGTGAAAAACACCTTTTCTTTCTTACACCACTGATTTTTTTTATAATTTGATTTAACCTATAGTAGATGATTACACAAGAAATTAAATGATGGAAATAAGGTTTTGATGATGTTTCTTCACAGGAGAAAGAGGAAACATCGGGTGAATTATTAACTAACTGATATACTATATATATACCCAGAAATCAGGGAACTGAATTTGTGGATATGTGTAACAAAAAGAATATCATTTTGTAAATCAAGAGTTTGATCCACACGATCACACCCTTATTGTTTACAAAACCAGTTGCTTTCGATTTACTCCCTTTTGTGTCGTTCTCCAAAACAAAATGGTTTATTCTTTTAGAAAAATTCTAAATCTAATTAGAAGAAACGAGACGAAACGAAACTAAATGAGATGAAACGAAACGAAACAGATATAAACGCCCAGACATTATTCGCGGGCTAGAGGCGCAATACATACATGCGTGCATCGGATAAAAGGCACACTCATTCATAGATACGCAGAATTTGATGATGCATTTATTTGTCACTGCGGAAGTTTTATCAGAATAGAATCCCTGTCATGGAAGTCTTATTTGGCAGAATTAGGCATAACGATAAGTGGAAAATCTTTTTTTTAAATGTATGCGCTCGGGCATGGCGCCAAAGAAATAACACACAGACAACTGTGTTGCCCAAATCCCCAATTAGGAGACTTTGTGTCAACTTTGGAATCTTTTAGCGTTATTAAATAGAATTGATTAATGCTGGTCGCAAATTATTTATAAAATCATAAATTCTTACATAGTAATTTCTAAGAATTGATAATTTCTTATTCTAGTTAATTTTTTGTTAGGATGATGTATTTGAAATTAGTCGATATTAAAATTCCAAATAATATTGCAGTTTTCTTTTATTTTATGCTAAAAATTTATTAAAAAATTATTGATAAAGAAAATTTATCAAGTGAATGTTGTAGTTAGCATCAGATTTTGCAACTTTTTATATTTAAACACATTTTATAAATGATAAAATGTGCCTGTTTAGAAAATTAAATAAATTAGATTTATTTAAATTAAAAAATTATAATATATTGTTGAAATTTATAATCTTTAACAAAATAAAATTTAAGTAATATATATATCTTTACAATATATTACATTATTAGAAATAATAAAATTCAGAATTTTCTCTATATATAAAAGTTTTTAATTTTATTGAATATTTTTATTTTATATTAAAACAAAAATAAAAATATATAGTTTCATATTTATTTTTTCTGAAGATTTCTCTAGTTATAAAGTTGCTTTAAAATTTTTTACTAATTAAATTTGTATTTTAATTAGTAAAACTTTTAAAATAACTTTATAATTAAAGAAACTTTTTACCAGAAAAAATATATAAAAATATAAAAATAAAAAATTATTTATTAATAAAATTAAAAACTTTATATATATATAAAGAAAATTCTGAATTTTACTAATTATAAATTAAATAATTTATATTTATTTTGATATAATTTTTTAAATATTATTAATTAACAACTAAAAAATTCAAAAAAAGATAATTATAAAAAAATAATCATAAAGTATATAATTATAGAAAGCTCTGACTATATATATTGTTACCATTTTTGGTGTCTCTTGAAAAGGTTATTTCGTGGTAGGTTAATAACTTTATATATAATATTTATTAGGATAATATATAATAAAGATATTATGAATTATGGGTGGGAGAGACTAATATAATCAAAGATATAATATAATAGACATTAGACTATGATTATAACGAGGTTAAAGATAGGTAACAAGAGTATGTTCATAACATGGTCAGCTAGAATGAGACCTGGGATTATAATATAAGGAATGTATGATAATAAATAAGGCTTTATTAATAAAGGTCATTAAATTTATAACATTATTATGTTTAAATTATTATTTCACCTTATTATTATTTAATTCATT